TATCTGTTTTCAATGTTATTTTCAAATAAGATGTGTTTTATTTTCCTAGCACATGTGGCACTAACATTTTAAAAGAATAATTACTCTGCACTAGGCTTGAATGCTTGTATGCATGTAATACAAATCAGAATAAAATATGGACCATACTGTATATCTGTGATACAGTCCACTAAAAGACACCACATAAAGAGGTCTTAACAGCTTTCACACACTGAGGGATGATTAGTTTAAAAAGAATGGCGCATGTTATGCTTGTCACTTCCTCTTTGGAATTCTTTATCAAAACATGGCTAAACACATTTGAAATATTAGTATTCAGTGAACCATTAAAGAATGCATTCTTTTTTTTCATAGATCAAAAAAATGTCCCTATAGTTGAGTGTTATTTTCATTTGACCACTGCTGCCAAACATAACTAAAAACATATCACCAGATGCAACAACCCACTCTGCAGAAGACTGAAAACGTGAAACCTTTTTATAAGATTACTATCAATACTTTTATGTACAGTATATTACTTTTAAGATTTCTTTTTGTTTCCATTCTAAGCACAACTATTCTGTCAGTCACAAATATGAAAGAACACATTAAGAGGATAATATATAATAAGGGCACACTATCCTGCTTAACTGCAGTGACTAATAATTCTGGTGCCTCCCTGTGAAAATTCTAATTTGAATTTTTTGCATCAAACTCTTTTTAACATTGCATGACAGAGCTGAACAGTAAGAAGAGCAATGCTTATCTCTGCTATTCATTGTCATAGAGTACGCAATTTCTGAGATACCATTAAATTTGGCAGTTCAGTATATAATAATTTCTATGGATTAGTTAAGGATGTGTTTTAGAGATGCCAAAATATGTTTCTTTTAACCAAAAGGCAAACCAATTAAATACTAAAAGCACGACAAGAAAACCAATTAGTTTCTCATATATTATTTAGCATTTATTTTATGCAACATGACCATTTATCTGCACACTATTAATGGTATTTTCACCTTCCTTATTTACAGCCATAAATTAATGACCAACATCTCAAATTGTATGTATTGCTTTTTAAAAGATATGTTTTTCTAAATCTATTTAGATGAACATAAAGGAACATTCTGGTTTTGTAAGAGTGAATCATTAATTCCCAGTAGCACTTTATTTCAAGACAGAAGTCTGTACATCTTTTCTTTCATATACTGTGCAGCTAATGAAAATTAAACTGCACTATTTCTTTATAATTGTTGCTTAAATCCTTCAATACATGTGCATTCTGGTTTGTGAAGGATTTGCTTCTGTTCAGCTGCCAATGACAACAACAATCGCCCTCAGGGCAAGGACAAATCCCTCAGGGATAATCAAAATAAGCAATGTATTAAGGAACTGGTCTGAGGTTTATTGTGAATGTGCAGACTTTGATTAACATTGGTTATTTTACATATTGTTATATGTTGATTCAAATAGCTCACAAGTGGACTGGTGCTCGTTTTAGAGCCTAGTTTTCATTCTCTATTTAGCCCCACTATCATGGTAGAACAGCCCCTGGGACCTTCCAACAGCAAAACAGAAAAATGTTTCATTCACAACCATACAAACATTAAATTAACAGTTCCAAGGTAACACATTTCCCCATAATATGGCTTTTGAATCCAACATTGTAAACATTCATCAATTTTCTAACCGCTGCATTCAATTCAGTGTCACGGGGGAACCGGAGCCTATCTTGTATTATACATTTCAAGTGTATTTTAAATATATTTGTAAAAAGACAACATGCATTGTTTTTTTTTAATATTAGAACACAAGATTCTCTATGTGCTGCACTAAAGGACCACTATTAATTTAAAAATGAAGCTAAATGTATTTATTACATCTGACAAATATACCAAATTACAACTACTAACATTACGAAATGTTCTGCTGCTTTTTCATTGTTGACAAGACGTCTATATTTATTTAAAGACAAAATAACATTACAATTAATAAATGGTAACAACATACCTCATCCACCTATATTAATTGAAACTACTGCACCTATATAGGAATTTAGACTTTAGCGTTAAGCTGAAAAGTACAAGTATTAAAATCAATAATAAAAATGACTACGCTAAAAAAATAAATATAGCAATGTACTGTAGGATTATGCATAGTACCTAAATAAGGCACTGCAATCGTTAATGCAGGTATAGTGTCTATAAATCATATGGATTGGTGTCTATCTTGAAAATATAGCCGCACTACATTGACCACGGAGTTGCATTTGGGTGTGGTGTGACTGAAAAATAATGTTTTTTATGGTAAAGTTTATAACTAAAACTTTGCATGCTAGAGCAACCTTGACTATTTCAACTGTAATTCTGTTCTATTTTTCAATTCTCAACTAATAAGAATTTCTATACTGTAGGTACTTCTGACTAACCTTATACGGTATTTATTGCAAGTCAAGATTTGTGTTGCATTCACCATTCTTATTAACTTTCGTAAATATTTCAGAATGCAAACGCTAGTCATATGTGATAATTTCATTATTTTTCTTCTAAATGAAAATCACTAGAAGGAAGAATATAAAACTGACTAACTGCGACGCATTTGAAAAATCGCAGCAAAGAACACAAAAGAACATTTTGTTTTTCCACAATGAACCAGAACTCAACTTCTGTGTTGTCAATTGAGTGAATGAGTAATCTTGCAATGCTAACCGTGTTCTATTATGCTGCATTAATAAATACCATGCAGACTCCGGCTCTACTGTTTTTCAAATTCTCCACCAATTGCTTTGAAAAAAAAAAACAAGCGGTATTTCTATATACCCGAAATGACATTAAACAGATACCACATATTACAATACCATAATATGATTTAAAAAATCACAAGTATTTACATCCATTAACGTTGGAATAATAACGTCTAAAATATTCCTCGTTTAAACGTGCTGCAAAAGATTACTCGTTTTAACGACAGCACGAGCCGTTTCTCCTGTATATTCATCGTTCCCAAATGCATTAAAACAAAGTGCTCATAAATGATATTTTGCTGTATTTTGTCAAGAATAAAACGCTACAATAAATTAAACGCTATAACACGGATTTTATCATGACATTTTCATTCCCTTTACTTTACCAGCTCTGAAACAGCTCCATCGCGTTACTTTCCCCCACTGTTGTCTGAATGCAGAAAACACAAGCCAGAAAACCAAATCCTTCAGCAATACTTACAGATTACAGAGGAAATGGTTGGCTTTTTATCTGCATATTTTTGTTACTTTAAGAAAAAAGGAAGATTTTATCACGTAAAAGGAATAGAAGAATCACAACCTTACCATTGCAGTTGTAATATCTCGTGGAATGACGGTTTCAAAACACCTCCCAGTTTTGAGTTCAATTCATTCACGTACAGCTACTGTAGGTCGTTTCCAAACCGAAAAGCGCCTACAAATGACAATCAGGTAATGCTCAGCGCATTTTTTCCTTTTCTGAATGCGGGGGTGTAGTACCTTTTTAATAGGTTTTTACTTTAGATTGCAATCCTTTACTGAATTAAAACAGCTATCTTTTGCAACGAACAGTTTCTTAGTCTTGATGACAAGATTAAGACGTTGCAGCCTGAAGTACTATTATGGGGAGACACTGGTTCATGAACGGGGTGTTATATCCCGCGAAAGAATTATAATTGGTGTAAATGTTCAGACATCTAACCATGTCCAGCTGCTTTGATAAATAGAGTATATAATTATATATGTGGTCGAGTAAAGAAAGAATACGTTTATTTTCTTCTCAATAAACTGTGCGCCTTCCCAGTCAATGCTCAACATGCTTGCAAGCAGGTACTTCTTGCTGCCCCCCCAAGCAGATGTTCAGAGCCAAGGGCCAACCAATGAAACTGCACTCTTTTATTATACGCAGTGTATCAAGGTTCGGTGAAAATGCAGGGCTTGCGCAAAAGCCCCAATTCGGAAATAATAAATGTTAGAATATTATTTTGTTGCTTATGGTTATCATTAAATATCGACCTTGCTCCATCATAAACAATTCTGTACGTGCAATCGATTTATACAGTACATACAGTACTGAAGCTGTCTGCAAAAAAAGAACTAAGGAAAGACGAATGCAGTAGGTAATGTTCACAATGTCAGATTTTTTTTAAAAGAACACTGTTGAACGTGCATTTCAGCAATTGAATGATTGCTTAGTATATTTTAGTGGAGTTCAAGAATCTTGAATAGCCATATAATCGAATCAGAAGGGGGAAGTGTTATCGAAAACGTACATTCAATTACGCGAAACAAAATACTGAAATAAAGTGCAAATAGAATAATGTACATGACCTGTGGGACTGATATTTACCGATGAAAGAATCCAAATTAAATACAGACATACAGTACCGTAGGAGTATTTGCTGTAAAATGCTTTAAAAGGGTAAATATATACACTATGTTACTACCATGGCATTTTAAGGCTATGAATTGCAATACGTAGAATGTTGATATTTTGATTAGGCCAATAAATTTATTTTTTCCAAATATTTCATTTTATTCCACTAAGTTTTACCATCATGCAGTTATCTGTTGGTAGGTACTGGCCATGTGATATTAGTTATTGGTGATGTTAGAATTGGAAGTTCAAGCAGAGTGTACTGCTATTGGTGCAGAACGTGTCAACAGTAAAACCTAAGTACTGCATAAGCTTTTGGACAACCTTAAGCACTCAATGTTCTTCTGTTTGTACGGTGAATGATGGGTTTTAAAATATTTTGGTTCAGAACCCTGGGCAGGTACCCAGGTTTCTCCAAAAGTAAAGAATTCTGTAACAAAATAAACCTACAGTATACTGTACCTGCAATGTTGTCTCTACGGCAAATAGCAGAAGATACACTTTAAAAAGATGCCGCCTTCTTTTGTGATGAAACTGCTCCTTTTTATTTAGAAACATGGCTAATTTTGTACCATTGGCAATTAAATGTTTTGCCCATTTTTCATCTGAAAATAAAGATTGGTATCACTAGAATCCATCCATCCATTTTCTAGCCATTGTAATCCAATTCACAGTCATGAGAGTAGGAGCCTGTCCTAGCAAGCAACAAGCATAAGGCAGGATACACCCTAGAGCGGACACCAGGCCATTGCTGAGCAGACAGGCACAAACTCACACACTCACATTTTCCCAGAAGCCAGTTAACCTACCAGAAACAGAAGAATCCGGAGGAAACCCACGCAAATATGAGAAAAGTATTCAGACGCCACACAAAAAGCACCCCAGGTGTGAATTGATCCCAGAGCCCCAGATCTGCAAGCCAGCAATGTTAACCACTGCATCATCATACTGACCTGCTATGATTAGAAATACAGAAAATTATGTTATAAAATACAACATTTAATGACTTTATTATGATATTAGGTTTTACAAATCCATAGAAGTTAGATAAAAGAAGACATGTCAAACACCACTGATGGGACCTTCATCAATAGAACACAAATAATAGTGTAATAACATTTTCTAAAAATATGGAAACATAAGGAAGGTTTCAAACTAGAGAAGGACACTGAACCCATTGTGCTTGTTTGGCTGGTGGTGGTTTATTGATCTGAGGAATTCACCCGGCTATTTCTTGAAGATTTCCCAGGAACTGGCTTCAGCAACATGGCTTTGTAGCATGTGCCGGACACCTAACATCACTTGTGTCAAAGAGTAATTCATTTGGATTGACACTTACAGAATACAGAATGATCTTCAAAGCTTGCAAGTCTCTTGTGAGCTCTTCTGCTCAAAACTAAAGAGACTTAGTCTCTTTTTCCTATCTGTCTGTGGAATAACCTTTAGATCCCTGAACTATTCTGGCAACCATTCTTTGAAATGTGTCTCAGATATTAACAATTTTAAGACCATGAGAAAGGTTGCAAAAATTAGAGAATGTGTTCTTCCCATCTTGCTTGTTTGGTAATTTAGTAGTAAAGTAAATCTATACAGTAATTTCATCATTTCCTGAAGGAGTACACTGAGCCTTAACCACCCTGTATTGGAAGTCCTACTTTTCCTATTGGAAAGTCCAATTCCTGTTGGAATTTCCTACTTTTTGTACTAAATTGATTTCCTTTTGCTTTTCAGTTTTCATATCTCTGTTCTTGCTTCACCAACAAGGCCTGAGATAGTTCCCTAGATGGATTTCATCTACATTTCTTAGGATTTTATACAGTATATTTGGATTAAATATTTCTCTTTTTTCTAGACTAAAGATATTGAATTCTGTTAACAGTCCTAAGACCAGGATTCTTTTTGCTTTTAATTTAAATAATCAACAGTATCATCATCTGCAAATCTAACTAGGTAGCTACCTATACAAGCTTTCAAATGAACAAGTAATAGGTTTATTCCATGCTGAAAAGAGAAGAAAGAAAACACAATGTTTTGGCCAAGGAGCCTTCTTCAGGTGTGAGAAAGACTATCAAATGATGTATATCAATGATAAAAAACAATTGGCTTAAAATAGATCCCTGAAAGTCACCGGTGTTTTAAGTTTACAACTAGAAATGGAAATGCAGTGAAAACAATTCAAATGATATTCTAATTGAGGTCTAACTTGTGCATTTTATATCCTTAACACTACTTCCATTAGGTTAAATGATGCACGTTTTACAACATATCCTAGATCTTTTTGGCTTTTATTGATTCCCCAAATTGCCCACAAAAATGACAGTGATGAATCCATATAAATTCCTTTTCAGAGGTTGATTGTTCTCATTTTGTGTTCCCTATCAAATATTTATATTGTACATTTGTACTACCTTGACTTGACTTGAACTTTATTGCCATATGTAACCGGTGCTGGTACAATGGAATTCTTACTTACAGAAAGTCTCTC